CTGGTGGGACGGGACTAGAGCAGATCGATCCCCCCGTGCCCGGGTCCCTGCCTCTGAGCCGGGTACACCGCAGGTCCCACGGCGGTGGAACGGGACTGGGCCGGACCCCCCCTCCCCGTGCGCGGACACCTCCGGCCTTACAGGGACAGGCTAGGGTCTGACAGACCAGACCTCCCCGCCGGGCCCGGCGCAGCTTCCCCAGAGGCCTCAGGCCGCAACGGGTCGGGACCGGCCCTACTCAGCGCCCCCAGACCCGAACGCCTCAGGCCCAGCCGGACCTGGACCTCGACCCGGGCCGGTCTCCCCTTCCGGGCCCCGACCTCCCGGCTCCGAGACCGGCCCAGCCCAGGCTCCCCGTACCCGGACGCCCACGGCCCGGTCCCCGCTCACCGCGGCTCCGGGCTCCCCCGCCCCGGCCCGTCCCGTCCCGTCCCGTGTCAGCGGGCGCCTGACACAGACTGACCCACCGGCCCGTACCATCCCTACCGGCAGCTGTGGGGGGGAGAAGAGGGGCAGACAGCTTCCCGGCTGCCCACCCGCCGCCGACAGGGAGCAGCGAGAAGACGGAGGAGAAAGCGAGAGACAGGAAGGAAGAAGAGGCCGTTCGTACCGCCGTACCGAGCCGGTCCTTCCCGCCGCTGTCCCGAGGAGCCCGCTCCCCCCCACCCCCCTCCCCCGGTGCGGCAGTGACTCGGCCCACGGCCGCCCTGTCCACAGTGGCTGGGCAGAGCTATTACCTCTAGACGAGAGGGGGGAGCTGAGAAGATCCGGGAGACGCCTCCTTCCTTCCCTCGCTATCCCCTGCCCCACCGCAGAGACCGGACAACGGTGTCGCAGCCCCGAGAGCCGAGAGGGGACGAGCCGGCGCCTACAACCCCGCAGGCGCCGCACCGGGAGCGAGCTCCGCTCCCCCCCCCCCCCCTTCTTCCCCCGCCAAGTAGTGCGGGCCGCATGGCGGGTCACGTGACCGGCAGCCTCCGAGAGGGGCCGCGGGGCGGGCCGTGCGCAGGCGCCGTGCGCGGGCGGGGCCCTGCTGAGGCGAAGCGGCCGCGAGCGCCCGGCCGGGGTCGGCGGGGCCGGGGTCGGCGGGTCCCGGGCGGTGGAAGGGGTTCGTAATCGGGTCCCGCAGAGCCCCTTTTCCCCCTCCCGTCTGCCCCCACAGCAAGCTGGGCCCCGGTTCTCCGTTAAAGACACTTGAGTGCAAGGACGGGCGGCAGCCATCATCTGCTTTAATTCCTTAAACTACTTAGAATGTGAGATTAAGGCAGAGGAAGGCTTCCATGAAGTATTCTCGTTCCCCACTCCATTTATAAAGCAGTTGTAGTGCGAGATTTACGCAGGTAAAGCCCGGGTTAGAAGGGTGAAGGAAGGGAGCAGACACTGGGAGTTACACAAGCCAGTTCTGGGCTCTTTAGTAGAGATCCCCTCTCCATTAAACTACTTCAGTTTTTCTTTAGGGTATCAAGTTTTATTAGAGGATTATTCAGCTCTAGAAAACTATGATAAAAAGATAAACCAAAGTCCATGTGAACTATTAATCCTTTCAGGCTTCAAATACACTACTGGATTGCCCCCCCCACCACACTCCCTTTACAGTGGAGTTTTAAATATCCAAGTCTGGACAAAAGCAGTAAATCTTCCACAAGGTAACAGCATAGATCATTCGGCTGAGTAACACTTGTACTTAAATCCCAAGAAAGACCAGTTATCACTGATACCACTACAATATATGCCTCTGGATCCAATCAGCCATGCATGGACTAATAATTATGCCTCTAAAGAAAACGATACTCAGATGGTCATCAAGACGGACGATTATTGTAACACAAAGATCAGACCTGAATGGAAGCGTTTGATCTAAAGTCCAGCTAATCCTGGAGCCCATCTCGGTCAAAGACCTGTAGCAGCACTTCCCAAGGAAGGCACGCTGTTGGCACAGAAAGAACTACGATTTCTACGCAAGAGCGCTCAGGAGAGTTCCGAGAATTCACCAGAAGAGCTTGAACAACTCCTGAGCAGAGGGTACTGCCACACGCAGCAGACAACTAGCAGCCTCTCACCAGCCAGCCAGAATCACATGTCCTAAGAAGCGACAAGAACAAAAGACCCCCCAAAAAAACAAAGGAAAAGCCAAATACAGAAGACCTACTACCTCATTTAAGACAAACTAAGAAGAACGACTCATTTGTTATCTTTATTTTCCAATAGTACATTTAAACAACTTCTCAGGACTAACCTCCTCAGCCAGGTTGGCCATGCAGAAAACATTTCCTAGGTTATACAGATCGCCTATGACAACACATACAACGGGTCGCGGTTGTACGGTAGACTGGAGAAGGGAAGTTGTAGAGGAGGAGGCAGCTGGAGTTACGCAAAAGCATGTAGAGCAATGGCAGTGCTACAGGTGTGTTAACAGAGGTCACTAGCTGCGGCTCCTCAGTGGCACAAAAAGAGGAGGGGGGCTGTACACAAGCAGCTTCTAACCCTTTCTTCTAGACACATTTCGAATACCTGCTAATAATATACTGAACTAGAGACCCCTCCTGTGGCTAAGAAGTGTAGTTGCATGTCTAATGCTACCTTCAGAACTGCATTTTGTATCTTTTGCTAATTAAGATGCAAGGAAATAGGAGTTAGATATCAAAGCATGCACTCAGTACTTCATGAACACATCTTGTGGCCATGCATGACAGGAAGAACTAGCCACAGGACCTTTGAGAGTCTTAAGTTCTTATATTCAATCAAAAGTCCTTCCCTGCAATAAACACAAATTAAAACCAGAGAGCTCAAGTGTTCTCAAAGTGTCTCAGCTGACCACAGCCCATGCAATTAACTCCAAGACATGAAGGAGCTACTTCATTAAAAATCTGACTTAATTTCAACAGTATCTCAAGACATGCAGATGCCAGACCCTATGCATTTATCAAACTATTACTTAAAAGTCCTTCCCTGAAGCACTTTCAGTGAACGCTTTATCTACTGATTCTACAGGTGGGACCCGACTTTGAATTTTCAACAGCAATCGGAGTTTAACGGCACAACTATCCACGTCAGAAAAGGAACCTTAGCAGTTCTCTAACTTTAAGAGCATTTGCCCTCTTAAAAATCAGCTTAAGAAAAATAGCGTAATATATAATTTGAAACTATTACATAGCTATTTCTACCATCCTTTTGATGTGAGGATGGATTTATTTTATTCACTTTAGGCAAAAAGGAAGAGAAAATGTAGCTGCTATTTGCCAGCTGCATATATTCATTTGCTTCTAATTCCACAGATAGAAAGCCATCCTGCAGCTCTCAGCAGGGAAGTCCATGCTCCCTAATAGGAACTAGCGGTATAAAAGCTCAGCCATTGCAAAGTGGACATTTCTGGTTCTTCTCCAACATCACGAAAGCATCCTGCACACATTCTCCTCTGGCAAGTGAGCCCTTGGCAACAGAAGGCGAGCCATCCACATTTTTGTATAGGTGGCAGTTTGGGGTTAGTCATTTGCAGTCCTTTCTATGACTACCACACATGGTTGTAAACACTTTTGACAACCCAGCTTTGTGCTTGAGCCCACAGCATTACTAATCTACTAATTTAATACTTCCACAGTACCAGAGAGGAAAATTGCATAAGCATGTTCAGCATTGAAATCACTGCAGGAGTAACTAGGAAAAAAAAAAAAACTTCAAAAATCATAAATATCTTTAATTACAAGACTAGTAAGGCAAGTTATGAAAAAAACCCAAGGTTTTGCTTTTAAGATCAGGTGTAACAGTTGCCTGCAAATATGGAAGTCTCTATGATAGGAAGCACAAGTACTCAGTGGTGAACTACTAACACTATGGACCTATGCTGTGTTCAATACTAAACTGCTATTTTATACTTTTAAAAACATCATTCACCACCTAGACAACAACCTGGGGACATATCTTCTACTAGAAAGCATACCGCTGTCACAGAGGCTCTGCTAGAATTAAGACACCAATTTTAAGTGAACACCGCAACAGTTCTGTATCAGCACTGGAAGCACAAATGGAGTATTTTCAACCATGGTTGACCTCAATACATACAAGCTTCACACAGCAAGAGCGAGAAATGCTTAGCTCCCACTTAGACTCCTGAAAAAAAGCCGGCAGGTTAGCAGCAGCAAGCAGCTCCTAGTCAGGCGTTTAAGTAGGAAGCACTGGATGCCGAGCTTCTCGCATTCTGACTTGATGACAGGTTTATTTACGCCCAATAGTAAGAGATTCGCACTGACATGAAGTGTTTCAAAGTTGTTTGAACAGTGAGAATCTTCAGATACATGAGAACTACAGAAAATTAAAGAGCCCATTGATTTAAGGGGTGAAACACTTAGAAGAATCCTACAACAAAGTTTTTACGTTTAAAATAGCGAATTAAAACCCAGATAGCATTCCAGTATGTTATCTCCAAATAAAATCCTGCATTTTGAGAGTTGGATAGAATTCTATGTTCCAGGTAGAATTATTTTGTTTGGAAACAAAGATCTATAGCATTGCCCTCACTTAAACTTATTTCCACTGCAGAAATGTATTAGCCTGTTGAATACCTTCATGCCAACTTTATAGAAACAAAAATTCAAATTTCTTTCAGTATGAACAACTACCTATCTAGCATCCTCCAGAACACTAAGGTCTTCTAAATATCCTTTTGTTTAGGTCTAATAAATTTGATCTAAGAGTAACCATTATTAGAAGATATTTTGTACCAGAAACTTAAAATCATACATAGCTGTTACGTATGGATTTCCTATAGTGATTTCTGCTTTTCGGCAAAACTGCCTTACAAGGACTTTTTAATATGCTCATCCTTTTGGGAAGAACACAGTTCTTATTTAATTCAATAGACAGCAGCCAGCTACACCAGGCATATGCAAATTATAATGCAGAGAATTTACTTAAACTCTACCCCTCTCCCCCCACCATACATATGATAAATCTGCACTTCGAGCCAACTTTAAACACAGAATAATGAACCAGTAATTATCTTGTACGTGAACCACCACTAGTTTGTATTCTTCCCTGAATAACACTTTTTTTTTTTTCAGAAGAGAAAAAAGGACTGCTACAGAAACACAGCAACATTCAAACCCTTTAAAACAAAAGGTAGATTATTTAATGCATTAACGATGTTAATCTGAAGATAAATAAATCCACAACAGACTTTTAAGTTTCTTTTGAGATTTCCTTTTTCTTTGCAGAGAATATTTCGGATATTATACAGTACTGAGAGGGTGTTCTTTTATTTTCTTAATGTCCAGGTGAAAAGCAAAGCTCAGTTCTCTCTGCTCTCTTCATGGAACTCCTCAATGCCCTATTCCAGGCGTGATTCTTTTCATAAGCTTTTACTTGAAAGCGGAGTGGTGAACAACATTAATTTCAGGAATAACTGGATGGTTTGGTCCCTGAGTCATCTTCTTGAGAGCCCATACTCTGGAAGGGAGAGAGTTATTTCTTTTCAAAAACAGGTCTGAAGGTTTACCTTTGAGACAGACAGTTCTTTGAAGTTAACAGGTAGGAAAATAAAGTGCATATGAAATAACATGCACTTCCTCTTTGTTTTAAAGCATGATGTTTATGCACATAATATTATTATTATGTAACTATTAACACTGTAAACACTGACATTCAGTGCAACATACTCACTGCACTGAATCTCTTACATACTCTTACAAGACATTAAATCAATTACCTTCTGCACAAACTGAGGATTCACAGTGATCTCTTGATCCATGGCTTTCAGTCGTTCATCAAGCTCTATACATTTCAGCATCTTAAAAATATATATAAGTTGATTACTTCGTCCAGCTTGTACATGACCTTCAAGACATTTCATGGCTGTGCTATGTAGAACCAGTAACTTTTGCCATCACAAAAGTTCCATGTCAAAATATTCTCATCCTCATCTACCAAACAAAAGTGCCAGACCATTTTTTATTGCCTTATTTTGATCCATGTCTTCCTAACAATCCTTTTTAAGGCCACTGATAGACAGTCCCATGTGGGTCAACCACCTCAACCTACAGGCAGGTTATCGACAGCCAGTGGAAGTGATCCTTGAAGTCTAAAACTCTAAAAACAATCCTTCTAATCCATTTGATTCAAGGAACTTCACATCACCAACATCAGGCAGTCAGTCTACTGAAACATCTCAAGCTGTACAGAAAATACAGCAGGGAACACATTGACAGTAATTGACTATCAAGCTAAAACCTTTAAATACCAGTATGGTAAAATACTCAAATAATGACTCATAGTCCTCAATCTCTACATTTAAGTTACCTACACTGGCTTCTCCCAGCAGCTCTCTGATTACAGACTAAGGTTCTTTGGTAGGAATTCCAAAAGCAGTTAATATCTTAAAGATTTACCTCCTGATCAATGTTATGAAGCATAGCTGGATTGTTATATTTTTCAGGATTATCATGGAAACAGACCATACCATCTTTCTGATTAATACTTGCAAAGATTTCACCATCTTCTATCTGAAATGAGAGAGGGTTTAATTTAAGGTATCACTAAGAACAGAATTTCAGGTAACTACAACACACAGACTCCTTGTAGAATCATCTTTAACTTGTTTGCTTTTTATTTCCTAACAGCTTCCCAAAGACAAATGATGCATGCCTTATCTTCGGCAGGGCACATCTCTGAAGATATTTTAAGAGCAGTCTAAACACCACAGCAGACCGTTCTTCAGCCATTCAGAACACGGACTGCCAATCCAAACACGGACTGCCAATACAAAGACTTAAAGAGTCTTGCGTTGGATCAATTTTTAAATTAGAATAGTTTACCCAATTCACAAGTCTTACCATGTGGAGGACGTATTTTTCTGCTTCTTGGGGCCCCGACAACTGCACTCGACTTGCCATGTCTTGTAATGACAATGTTAAAAATGTCTGAAATTTAGAAAGTACCAAACCATTAAAACTAGATGTTAAGAACTTTCCCTATCAATCCTTCATGGCCTATGCAATCTTATTTTTGAAGTCCGATGGGAAGAAACAAGTGGAACGCATAGTTATTACTTACAAAAGCATCATGAAAGTGGAGTCAGTTCCTTCTCCAAAGGCATTAATTTGTTACTGTGCATGTATGCAGACCAAACCAATGGAGTCATTACTCCATTTCTGCAATTCCTTTTTACCCCAGACACAGTCCTGACCATGTCCAACCTCTTCCCTCACCTTTTTACATGAATAAGGTGACTGTCCATCCCTTGAATTTCCTTCAAGAGATGTGTGTATTACATTCCTTCCGAGGTTAGTTCTACTGCAACAAACATTTGAGCTTGCCAAAAAAGAGCTTTCCCTTGATCATCTTTAAGGATTAATCTGATCTCTCAGCTGAAGGAGCACATCACTCCATTGCTTCTTCTTTTCCTTTTACTTCAGACACTTCCAAAATCTGTCCTGTTCACTCACTCTTCTCTAACGAAGTAGCCTGTAAAGTTCAGTTTTCCTATTTTTTGAATAGAGAGGAAGGTCATTGGGTAGCAGTGCTCACAACCTTTTTGATTATGTGTGAAAATCTCATGGGCAAACCTCTCTGATAGACAGACATATTGAACCACCTTTTAAATAACGCATAAGTAGCCAACTGAATTGGCTTTCTATATAGAGCATTTTAATCTCATTTGTTTCAGAGACAAAAATCTCAGTTTTAGTCATTTCTCCGTGACATTACTACATTATCATTTTGCTCTGAATCAAATACATTTCAGACATACACTCTTTGACAAAAACTAATCACAATTTCTCAGCAAAACAAAACCCCTACATCTTACCTTGGTTAGCCTCTGAATATTCTTTTTGTAGAGAGATGACAAGCATTGCTTAACCAGCCCCATATTGTTATCCCTTGTGAATGTTTCACTGTGTTTGTTCACCAGATTTCGAAGCTCCGAGGGTTTATTGGTTGAATAAACTTGCGCTAATTCATGGTAAGCATTGCTAAGGGGCTGCAATTAGAAAAATGAGAACCCTTCTTAAAGAACACGGTGTTCAACCAGCCTCACAAAATCTATTCACTACTTTAACATTGAAGCTATGCAGGCATAAAAGTAAATTTATGTAAAGTAAAAGTAAAAAAGTAGCTCAAGCATCTCTCAAAAAATGTGATGCCCATACATGGCTTTACGGCAGCAGCAATAGATCCCTGTACACTACATCTGTAGTACTGCAATATAAGATTTAGTAAACATCGTTCAAGGACCTCTGTGTGACAGTTCTAGTTACAGCAGCACAAGAAAAAGTCCATTAGCTGACCAGCACACAAAGTAAGCTGAGTTCAAGGTAAATAGCATATTGACTAGTCACTGCCCATCCATTACATTTGTTCTACCCTCTAAGACAGTGTCATCCTTTACCACAATGCATCACAGCATAGACAACAGAGAATCAGAGGGTGAAGGCCAGTTCACCTCAATTATTTTAAAATGGCAATTGTTTGAGCTTGCTTATTAGTATCTGAAGTTAGGAGGAGATTTTTGGAACTCTTTAAAATTTTGGTCACAAATCAACAAACTCGGTGTTAAATGAGAACTAACTAAATTTTTAAAGTGTGTTATTTACCTAGGATCAAAACCCTCTTGCTATCAGTTTTGTCTTCCACGCTACACCTCCTAATCAGAATGCTTATAGACTCCAAACTTGCAGCTTTTTCAGAAGCTTTTATTCTTTATAAAGCTGGAGTTTTGCAATAAACTATTTAGCATTTTGTACTTCGACTAGATGAAGTTAGGGGTTGAATGTTTTTACAAGGACACTGCATACTAAAAGCCAAGTGAAGTCTGCGTCTTGAGTTCTAACTTAAAGTCCTACCAAGGGATGTGCAGTATCAGTGAAGAGAATATTGGCAAGTACTATTCAACCCTGAAGTTTTTCCAAGTTTAAGTTTAAAAATCTGCATCACAAATATGAACAATACAGTTTGTTTGTAATAGATGTAGAAGTTGCCAGACAATCTTTAGCTATTGTACACTAGAAAGGCAGCAAGAGATTGTACTCTGGCACATTGTGCATTGTTTCCCATGATCTGCAATGTTAAACAGTAGCATCAAATAAGGGTAGAAAAAAAAATATCATTTACAAATTCAGATTTGTTGTTCTACTATTTAGCTGTATTTGCAAGACTTACCTTAATGAATCTACCAACTATCTGGGAAGTGTATTTTGGTAGCTGCTGAACTTTGCCAAGTAGTATCAAAGAAACTAGAATATACTTTTTGTATGATTCCAACATAATATGACTGACTGCCATGGCTGGAGTAGTTATTGCCTAAGCAAGCAAGAAAGAAATGGAATAGAAATTTAGTATACTTACTGCTAGATCCTGGTAGCTACTGCATTAACAAAAATCTCAGTTTAAAGCTGCATGCAGAAAGGATACAATGACATACGGATTTCACCTTTGAGTATTAAAGCTTAACTAACTTCTGTCAAAATCAATTATCGAAAAATGTCCTGAAAAAGTAAATTCTATACAAGCTACTCAAAACATATCATGTTACAGTGATGCCTACCTTAAAATAACCCTGTTAAGATGAAATCAAAACTTCTTGCCTTGGTGTATATCTAAAATTGTGCTAGAAATCACCTGTAGCTACCTGTTACCAGGATCTATTACACAGTTCCTGTAGAACCTGGATTTACACAGATCCTTAAAGAGGATTCATAAAGCTATTCCATCATCAGATCTCATATTAAAGTATGCTGAAAGAGGTCTGCAGAATAGGGAAAAGGGATTTTAGTTTACTATAATACTGCTAGCTACTCCAAGATCTGACCCTTGTTTACAGCAAAGAAAAATGCTGCACCAGTTTATTTTGCACATTTGACAGCATTTTCCTCTCATACACACACAAAGTTTTCCCAATTTTGCTCTTTTCTCTTCTTTCACAGAAAAAGCAAAAGCAGCAAATATTGTAATAGCCTTGAAGAAGTGTAACCCCCCTCATAAAATTAGCAACAGTCTTCACAAAACCACTGGACTATTTTTTAAGAATACACAATTTTGAATGTCAGCCTGTGAACTGTTTCTATGCTAGCAGTAACAAGCAGGCATGTGAAAAATATTTATAGTGAGATAAATTTAACATCAACCTTTGAGTTGCATAGTTTTATGGTGCAATAGTTACTTGGCTGTAAGAGACCTTCTTAAAGGAAAACACCTCTAAAGACAGTTTGCTTGTTACTTCACTTTATACACTAAAGAGTACCATTCAGGCTGTACCTTTCATAAAAGGGCTAATAGTGAACACTAACCCAAATCTGGTTTTATGTATTACTATGATGAACACACATACTAAACCAAAACCTATGTGAATGATGAACAGCAGTATAGATCTGTTAGTAGAATTATATCCTTAAGATTAAGAATGCTTGTACTTTATGTTAGGTTCACAGCTTTTATTGCTATCCTTAGCGGCAATTCAAAGATGATATGTTCTCTGAGCACTATTACGCATGCTACCTTTGCCTTTCAATTGATCACACTTTAGACTTACCATTTTAGTTAAAGTTACCTGTTCATAAAAGTAGAGTGCTCTTTCAAAGTTCTTTAGCCCAGTGTATATCATCCCACCATAGTAGTAGTAACATAAAAAGTGCTTCGCATCATATGCCCCATTCTCTTTACAAATATCCATCATGTCCACATCTAGATACGGGAGGGCAGGTTTAAAGCATTTTGCTAACAAACAGAGCTACAAGAAAATAAATCAAGTTTTCATAAATTAGCCATTTCCTTTCAAATTTCCACAAGGAAGAAGTTGAAACAAAATTCATCTAGTATTATTAATAAACCTCACTCCTCCAAGAGTGAAAAAACAGTGCATGTCAGTAGTTCTGTAACACAGATTATACATTGTATCATGATATTTGGGAAACCCTTAACACAGATTGTGAACTGTTGTAAATTATCCAAATCTTAAAGAAATTAGACTCTGACAAAGCTGCTTGAAACTCCAGGCCTTCCAGACTACCATGCTGGCAGCACTAAATATTGCACTAAACGTTCCTGTCCAACCCTAAATCCCAGGAGTCAAGAATGAGACAGAAGTGTAAATCCAGGCCAAAGACATCGAGACAAACATGCCTTTTGTCAAACTTGAGCAAACTGAATCTGGATATTACACTTATACTGCCTAAGACAAGCTGTGTGTGACTTTCAGCCCAGAGAGAAGGGATGTCAAAGGACTTTCAGAAGTCATCACAAAACCAAAGATCTGGGGACATGCACTGAACATTTAAAATTAATGGAAGTGGATTTTATTTCAGTATAGCATATTATTTATTACTAGAAAAAAAACAGTTAAAAGCCATTTTTACATTGCAATATGTGAACATACATTTCCTCAAAGGGTTGTAGGCATTTTATAAGCTTTTACTCTCATAAAAAGCCCTTATAGTGCCCTTACCTGGCAGAGATCTGCATGTATTGAGGTCAGCTGGTTTGTGTTCATCTGCATCTTGTCTATGGCTTGTCTGAGAATGCTAATTCCTCGCAGGGGCTGTCAGAAATTACATCTCTTTCAGATAATTTCTCATAGATGGCAGCACATTGGATCTTATGTTGACACTTACAAATGAAAAATAACACTAATTGACAGGTTCCATTAAGTAATAGTTAATTTGAGGTTCCCTTTTTGTAGGATACTGCAGCCTCTCAGAAAATAAAATTAACCTTGGCTATACAACTTCTCCTGATAAACTAAATGAAGTCATCAATTCTGCTCCACAAAGCCAATCTCCATCAGGAATACAGTAATTTGTATCAATAAGAAAAACCTTTCTTGACCCCATGACACCATCTAAACTCCCACCAAATAACAAAGGCAAGGCTCTTGCTTTACTCCACTTAGACCAGACTTGATCTCTACTTTTATTTCAGGCTAGATTTCCCTAAATTGGCCTGAAAAAGTCAGTATCTTAGCAACAAAAACATTGGTCAAATTTTCTTAAACAAGTTTCCTTTTTATATTTTAATGCATTTAATCAAGAACATTATATAATACTGGTAAGAATAACTAGAACTGAAACTAGTATCACTGACTCACCAGCACTAATCATCTTTGCAGCGCTCTCCCTACTCACACACACATTGTCTGAAGAACATTCTTGGTACTACACAAACTACGAAATCTGTGAGAGAGCATGTTTTTAGGTGACTCTACCCCCTCCCCCCCGAATTTATCTTCCTTACATTTGCCTTAGAGAAATTTTTAAATCTTCATTTAGGTTCATTACCTCTCAGTAAACAAGTAAGAAGCTGCACAAAAGTACTTAAAGTGGCAAATCTTTATGAAGCGAGTAAGATACTGGTAACATCCCCTTTAAGAGCTTGGATATGTAGGTAGCTTATTTGCACCAGACAATACTTGCTCACCTGTTTTCTCTCCACAAGGGCATTTGTTAACTGGTGGCACAGGCCAGCAACTAAATACAGTAAAACACAAACAAAAAACCACAACACAGTGAAAAATCAGTAATACCAAACTATCAAAAAATACATAAAGTCTAAAAGTAAGCTTAACTTACAAGTGTCTGTTGCATATCTAATGTGTTCTCCATTACAAGTGCTGATAAAAAGCTGCACCTGTGAGAATAATGTTTCGAAGTCAGGGATGCTGGGCATAGAAAACTTCACAAACCTGAAACAAACAAACAAGAAGGTTTAGCACTTTAACATTTGGAGATTAATACAAAAAGCTTCATCTTCATCACTAAGTCTCTGCAGATGCATGTAGATGCTTGCAAACAAATCCGAGGTGTTTATGACAGATGGCATACGATTTCCCCAAGAGCTGCACAACATTTGAAAATACACTTTTCATGCACACCCCCATTCTCAATCTAGTGCAAACTACAAACTACAATTTAGAACAAAAAATTATCTTTGTTTGCCAAAGTATCTGGTACAATAGTTACAATCATAATAGAAACACTGGCTAATGATGATGAATTATAATACTCAGCCATGCAACTTCTCTGGATGCTTTTGCCTATCCTACAGCCATCTCCTGCTTGAATGTGCTCAAGATTTCTCAACTATTAGATTATTAGATGTGTATCTGTTGTTAGGAGCTCCTTCTCTTCACTTCCAGTTTCTCTCCATCTCTGGTGGTTCCTTAGCACCCTACAGGCTGTAGCCTTGCACACTGCTTCTTCTGTAAGATGAACTATGATTACGCTCATCTGAGGGCAATGAAAACTCTAGCTACGCATCCTACAAATGTCACAAAGACATACAGAAAGAACTGTTTAATGCTGCCAGAAGGTACCCAACCCTGCCCATACTTCAGTTGCTATACACTGTAATATGCAGTTCAAACCTACCTAGATCATGAACTGTCCTTCCCTACAAGGCTTATCGCTGTCCAGGTTACGTGCTGCCACCCCTTCCCTGTCTCTTCAGAGAGTCTTATTCTACCAGCATAGGAGTTTGCCATGCCACAGTTTCAGCCAGGAGAGCTTTCCTATATGCTCCATTGATACTATCTCTTCAAATAATACATTTTACATATTATTTCTTACAAACAGTTATCTTCCTCTACCTGTTTTAATGACTGTTTTCATGTACCCCATGATATGATTCTTCTGCTAACGCAGTACTGATGCTCTGCTTTTTGTAAATTCCTTTTTGTAAATTCCATAATGCATTTTTATGAGATTCTAGCGAATTGTAATATTAAGTGCACTATCTCTATGTATTACAGTAATTTTGTTTCAAATGGGTAGTAGAAAAAGTACTAGAATTATGATCCTTCCCTTAAAACAGAACTTTAAAATAATAGTGGAACCTGTAGACGTTTCACTTGCAGTTAGGTACAGCTAGAAACAATAGTTTGAGCTTCAGGGCCAAATATCATTATCCTACCTCAGCATCGCCAAGGCAATTCAGGTATTATCTTAAACTACAGACAGCAGCAAGAGCCTCAATGCTGTCTAGAGACAAATACCCAAGAACCATGATAAGAACCCATGTTTCACTGGAAAAAAAGTGTCGCTTCAGGCTTACAGTTCAATGCACTACTGCCCTGCCAGTCAAGTTGTAAAAGCTAGTTTTATACCTTTTTGCTGAACATGTATGGAAAAATAAAGACAAACACAAGAAATAGATACAGCCTTAAGGAAAACAAACTCCCAATATTACCATTTGACAGTAATGACATTTACAAGCTCCAAAGGTTTTTTTTTTTTCTTTTGAAAATACAAATTTGCCTTAGTATTTTTATTAATAAAATGTGCATCACCAAAGGAAAGTAAGCACCATTCTAAGAGATGCAGATTGAAAACATTTAGGTCCAAAAGAAAAACATTTGGTTGACAATTCAGCATGTTGCCTGAAGTTTTAATACCAAGATATTCAATTAAAAGAAAGCAACACTTACAAGACAGCAAGAACACCTAGTGAGTGTTCCTGCACATCCAGGGCACCAAGCACTGTATCCAGATGGGAAAGATTTTTTGCTAGCAGTTCTCCGCTTTTATTGATCAGTTCACAAAGCTGGGTCATTTGCCCTGAAATATAAAACATTGTTGTCAAACTCTAATTAGAGAACACTCACACATTCCCATATTTCATTACACCTTGCTTCCCTATATAACCTGAGGAAAAAGTAGTATCACCCAGAGATTTTACTTCTCTTTAATACGATAGGCATTAGTTTCCAACAAGTGAGGTACTCACCATATGTTTTTTATAGGGTGACAGCTAAGGTTCTGGCCTTCAGGATTGCAAAGGAGGCCCTCGGAACACAAAGGTAACATGAAAAGCGGCATCAGCTCACCTCTTTAGAAAGGGGGCTTCAGGGTTTCGTATCAATGCCAAGCTCCATCTAAGTCAAGTCTACAAAGCTTTGACCAGCTTTTGTGATGCAAAATTTTGCCTCATGTGGATAAATTTACCTACACTTGTGCCTTCTACGTGTTATAAGGGAAAAACCAAAACCAAAACAGTACCAAAAATAGTTTCTTCCACTTTCTAAAAAATCCCAATACCAGAGCTTGTTCCTTGCTGCTTCTCAAATGCCCTATCCACTTTTCAGGTCTGCTCATAAGCATTTTTTTGAAGTAGACATTAAAATTAAAACTATGTACCTACAACAAAAGGATTTAAAAACCTGTTCTTAAATTTACTTCAATTAGTTAAAACTACAATGTTATTCTATTGTTGTGAGCTATGAACACAGCATTAAAGGCAACTATTTTGAATTAGGAAGGTATGGTGAGCCCAGAAAACCTTACACAGAAAGCAGACCAATTATCATGAACTGCTTTCAAACTCTTCTTCCCCCCACAATTACTTGAATTAAAACTACCCCTTTCTGAAGCAGAGTATTGTTTCAGTGTTCAATCCTTGCAGATTAAAGAGAAAAAAAACCAGAGGTTCTCTCACTCTTACAAAAATCTTCATAAAATGAGGAATAGTGCCTCCATTCATAGAGATTTACACTATTCTCAACTCTCTGGCCTTTTCTTTGAAAAAGAAAACCTGGGAAGCCCTAGCAATGAAACAGAACTTTTGATCCCTCTGTTACTTCAAAGCCAACAAATGGGGGACCAGAGCCCAGGAAGTCCAGAAACCCGTCCCCAAAACCATGCTCTCCATACGGAATTAAAACCCCAGGCATAAGCATGGAAAGGAATAGGGCTTGTAAAATGCTCTGTGGTTTGACAACAGTATTCAAGTACTGCAAAACCTTAGTTCTGGTATCCTCCCTAGTAATCTACCCGTTCTACAACAATCATCTAGCATTCCCCTAAAAAACAAAGCAAAAAACACCCCAAACAACCCTCTACCCACAAACGCACACTGAACAACTTGTAGTCTAAGTAGAAATATGCATACCAGGCCCACCTAAATGTCCATTTATGTCACCTCCCATGCAGCCAAACGCTGATAACCAGAAACCAACACCATCACAAGTACACAGACTTCTGTGTGCTCTCATAACCTCCAGCAGCCTGTCTGGTGTCTGGATTTACTCTCTCACAGAGAACATCTATCTGGCTCGTCCCTAATGAGAGAACTTCCACAAAGTCAACCAGTCTCCCCTTGAACCTTTTGCATCCACAACACCTCGTAATAAAAAGTTCTCCAGCTGAACTACACGCCTACAAAGAATCACCTTTCATCTGGTTTGTACCCGCACCTTGCAGGTATAATTTGTCTCTTGTATCCGATATCCCCAGCAAAAATACTCTATATTTAATAAGTTAAATCAAAGTAAGAGAAAGTTGGAGCTCCACCCAAAAGTAACTGACAGAGACAAAGCCTGGAGCCATAGAGGAAAGCAAAGCATCAATTTTTTATCAGTTCCAGGGACCAAACATCCCATGCAGAGAAACACTCAGAACACATTTTAGGGAGCATCAACAGAGAAAGTTCAAGAACTAGGAAACGCTGTGCCCACACACAGGAAAATTAGGGGTCTGGCAATAAAACTACAGAATTCTAACTGTGGTTATTAAAACACTTTCTGAACACTTGGTTATGGCAACTCCAACGTCCAGCCTCAGGCCTCCTGTCGCACACTTCCACGGGAAGGCAGGACTCTTCTGTCCCCAGGAGCCAACATTTCCAAAATGGATTTTAAAACACACGTGCCACAAGTTGCACACTCATCAGTTAGGTGACAGGCTGGGCTAGAGAATGCTAGTTAAAGCCCCCGCGATGCCCGCTCCTCCCCCCCGCCTCCACCCCCCGATTTTGAAGGCTCATATTTTGGCACGGCCGCCGGTGCCAGCTTCACTCCGCTCACCCGGGACCTCCACTTACCGAAAACCACTCGCTACCTTCCCACCGCCTTGGATGAAGGGCACAAGCCGGCCCTTCGTGCCCTGTCAAACCGGCGGCACCTGAACCCCTCCGGGATCCCTCCGAGGCCCCCTCTGCGTGCGGCGGAGAAACCCTGAATTACAGCCCGGGCGGAGGGCCCCACCGGAGCCACCAGCCCCTCGGGGGAGCAGGACCGCCGGACCCGCGCCTGAGGGAGAGCCGTGAGAGAGGGGGCAGGCCCCGGCCCACCTCCACACACATACACACACCCACGCGGGGCTCCACCGGCCGCCGCCCCCTCCTCCTCAGGCCCCGCTGGTTCCCCGCCGCCAGCCGGGCCCACCCGCGGTTTTCCTCCCCCCACGGTCACCTTGGGCCGAAAGCTGCCGGACGCTGTTGACGAACTGCTCCAGGGCCGACGCCATCTTGGCGGCTGGCGGCGCGGCCGCGCGCGCTGGGGGCGGGGC